AATCGTGCAATTCATGATATACATACCTCCTCAACTTCATCCATTTTGGAGGCTAGCACTTTCCTCAACACTACCTCATACAACACTGTCCCGCCAACAACAAGCAAGCGTGCACTAGAAGCTATGGGAGGCGCCAGAGGCGGAGTCAGGATCAGGGGGAGTCTGATATGAATGACATCCACAATGACAAACAGTATAAGGTGTTCAAGGCATCCGTATTACAGCGAATGAGATAGCATTTTATTCAGCAGGATTTTTGTCCTGATCTTAAAGGCATATAATATGATCAGTTTTACTACTGTTTTACTATATATTCTTACAAACTGGAAGCTTTTAAAAGTAATCATTCTAAGCATCGCCACCTTTACCGTAATGCATGATGATGTAGGTCCCCCCCCCTGAAATTTTTATCTCGAAATTTTGTGTTGGCTTCTCGAAATCTTCGCCTTGACAACTTGAAGTTTCGTGTTGTTACGACTGAAAATTTTGAGTTGGGAAATCAAAAAAATTCAGAAACTTTCTGAAATAAAAGCAACAAAGAAAAATAAGTAGCAAAATTTGTATGTCCCTTATGGGCCACCGTAGCTTCCTGTGACTCAAACTCTTCAAAATTCTTGGAAAACGTGCTAAAATGCACGCATGCGTTTTTCTCTAGTGTCTATGTCAACAGGGATCTGTCATGGTTCATTGCTTTGACTGTTCCATCGACACTGGTGAAAAACGCACTGCGCACGCTCGGAGATGGCGTAGCGTAACTAAGGGCAACTTATATTTTTTGATGCCGGTGTTTTGATTATTTTACAAAAACGCAAAACTTAAGAAAAATACTGAAAACTTAAGGTTGTCCTTTTCGCAATAGCAAGATAATTTCGATTGYGATACACTGCTGATTTATACAAAAAAAACTTTTCTTTATACAAAGCAAAAATAATCATTTGAAAATGCCGCCACTCGCGGCCCGACGACGACATCCAGCATGGCTAATTTGCATTTTGGCATTGTCTCAATTTGTCAACAATGTAGGCTCGGTTGGTGATAAAAAATGCGTTT